CCCACTCCGGTGTAACTGCGGCCGCATTGTTGCGCAGCTCCACCTCCCCTTTGTCTTAGCGCCACTCCTCGCCATCTGCCCCAGCGCTTCATTAAAAATACATGAAGAGGCTAACTGGCCCTGCTAACTTACGAGAAACAGGTGCCGTCGTTCGTCCCATAAGACCTGCGTCCAGGATGCGGCTCCTCGCACTCGAGCCGGAGCATCTGCAGCAATCAGTCAAAGTGAAACCCTGCGTGGCGGGTGGGGCAGGGGGGTGACGAGGCCCTTCATGTACCGCTCACCCCCCACTCTGAAATATATCAGCCATGCGTCCGACCTGGGTGTCCTGCACTGCCCTGCCTTCCCCTGTATATACGCGGAACATGTTGTGGATAGTTTCCGTTTGGTTATAGCACCAGGAAACAAAATTTTACTTCTCATGATAGAGATTGAGGGCTTTTCTCAAAAAAAGAGGGAAAATTTATAAAAAAACAATATAGCACTTAATGGCGACGAGTTAACATCAGCACTAATGGCCTGTAATATGAGCAGTAAAGAGATAAACAAGGCAGGTGGTGACATTGAGGACTGGATTCTGGCAGAAGAGAGAGAGGCTGCCATGACGAAACTGAGAAGTGCAGCCCACTGCATCACTGTGCCTGGGCCCTGTCAGCACCCATGCAGCTCTCTGTCTTCAAAGGCCTGGGGAGGTCCCAGGGTACAACCCCCCATCTAACATTTATCTGCAAATTGAGTTTGGTCTGCCTCATCACACTATTTTTCTTTCCATAAGCGATGGGAATTGTTTAAATATGTCCGAATATATCTGCTACTGACAAGATAAGGAAAGATGAGAGGGAATCTTTCTTTTGCTGCTGAATCTCACATGCTAACTCAGAGGCCGTCAATTTCTGGGCTAGAAAAAGGTAAACATGCGAGTAACAGTTAACTCACAGCCTCATCTGAACTGAACATCTGTTGATTCAGGACCAATGGGCATTATTGGCGGGCGTGTGGTGTGCAAAGATGGTTTCTGAAGAAAAAAGCAGCCAGTCGGCCAGCGATGCATGTGTGCAATCAGAAGGCAGAACCTTCTTCAGAAAGTGGTCTGTCTTGTACACCTTGCTTTGCCCATATTTCTGAGAATGGAAGCTGGGTGGATCTAATTTTACACAGGGGATTGGCGGGGACAGCTCGACTGCTGAGACGCACTCTGGGAGATCGATATTCGGCGTGCGCAGTCTGTAACAGCTGGCACAGTCGATCCATAAGGATGGCAAATAAGCTTAAAATCAAACGGCTGCGCCAATTAAACAACCGCTGCTGTGTTGCGTGCATGGAACATTCCAGAAAAAAAAAGCACTGAATGAGATGGTCCTCTGAGCCCTGCAGTCTTTGCACTGCATGGATGATTCATAAAACAGCCTGTCCCACAGGACATGTTAATTGTGTGTTGCGAGTCATTCGCAGGTTAACCACACTCCTCCATGCTGAAACCGTGAGGAAGCAGTTATCCCACCCGGCAGACTGCTGTGGTGCTGCCATCAAAGCCCGGAATATTCCACCTGCCTCAGTGTGGCCTCAGGCTGCGATCAATACATCCCTTACGGTACATGACCTGTACCTGAATTCCCTCCTCTCTACCCCTCAGCTATCGTTGTTCTTGCAAAAGGACAGCAGGGAATAGCCAGCAGTGGGGGTCGATCATCCTTAGTGCACCAGGTGCCCAACAAAGGCTCTTTGTCTAGCTGTAGCTTTGACAAAACCAGCCCTTTGCCAGTCCCTTGCAGGCCATCCCTCCTCCCCCACCGGCACGCTACCTCCTGGGTTTATTGGCTTCAGGAAATAGCTGTTTTAACTGACAGGTGAGAGATTAACATCTGCAGCCCTAGGAACACAATCTCCATTATGTCAGATAGGTGTTTGTGCAGCGAGCCCTAGCACTCACATCACTTGTAAACGCTGCATCTAAGACCTTTGACTAAAGGGACATTCTGAAATAGACAAGTGGCACAAACCTATTTAATGTGCGTGGGCCAGGAAATCAGACATACCTGAGAACCTAAGCTCCTCGAAAAGAAATAGCCAATAGACGGCTTCTTCTGCTGCTAATTCATCACATGGTAAAGCCAGTTGTTTTGCAGGACAGCCATTGCAATGCGTTTATATTAGATGTCTAAAGATCTGAAGACTACCTCCTGTCCACCAACTGAGATGGAGCTACCGAATGTGCATACAGCACATTAAACCTCCAGATGTCACTCGGGGAACTTCCAACACCATTGCACCTTATGGGTCACACCCATAACTCCTTGTCTGAAAGCTGGACTAGGCTGAGATGTGCTGTGACACCTATTACAGGAGCAACCATGAGACGGCAGGGCTACAGGGACGACTTCTGTATGATCAATGACCAATGAGTGGACAGGAAGTGGACAAATGCTGCTGGTTTACAGAAAATTATTAAATCTATAGTAAAAATGGAAGGAAGACAACCATCTCCCACTGAATAGAAATAAACTATATCTGTGAAGAATGCAAACTTAGGGATGACTGTGGTACAGCCACAAACACACAAAATGTTATTTAAGTTTGCAAATATCTGAAGCGATTAGGTTTCTGGAAACTGAAATATCAAAGTTAAGCCTTAGGCTCTTCTCTCTTTGAGCATTTTATTTACATGATCCATATCTTTTCCTTTAGGTCCCACTACAATCACTTCTGCACTCTGTCTGATTACTGTACTCTCCTCCTGAGTCTGACCAATGTTTCTTTGATTATTATCAGGATTCTGAGTGTTAGATTTGCTGGAATTATGGCAAAGGGTCAGCACAGGAGCTGCTGTTTCTTAAAA